TGGCATGGAATTATTGAAATAAATTATACCTTAAAATATTACTGAAATACATTTTTGTATTGTATAAATTTTGACTACCCTCCAATTCTTCCTACCTCCATCAAGAATATATGCTTGCTTAGAATGACTCAAAAGTCTATTCAATGAACGTATTGGTTTGGATTATCACTTATATTGACTCTTGTTGCAAACATTTAGTAAATCATTTTAATATTATATATTTAGAAGACAAAATTAATGCTATGTTGCAGAGTAAACCCTGCACAATGCAACCCTAGATTCTAGAGAGTTCGATTATGTATTACCAGTAAATTGTTTGTTCTTTATATTGATTGACTTCTCTTCTCAGTCTCTATTTATTTGTTAGTCTTAATTTATATTTCCCAAAATGAGTTTCAAATATTTTTAATGAAGCTGAGTTACCGAGTTGGCCCGACTTAGACTTAACTCACATACGGGCCTGGTAGGCTGTTGGACTTGCCGGCCCAATTGATTTTGGTTTTCAAATTTTTTCGATTGGATTGGCTAGCTGATCCGCGGGTTGGTTCATTTTGCCATGTATTGAGGATGAGTGAGTACAATATAATAAGGGAAACGTTCAAGCACCTTCGGTTTATTACTGAAATTAGGCACCCAATTATTTATTTCTAATTATTTATTTCTAAATACGTACAAGTAGAAACAAATACAACACAAAAGAACTTGCTTTCATTTCAACCCTCCAACGCATATCCACGTCAGATTACTCTATCAACGCGTCCATTGTTGGTTGGTTATGCCATGTCACTGTAAAGTCACTCACCAACCTTATTCCATTTTCTTCTTCTTAGCTGTATACATACGTCTACGTCTACGTATCAAAGCACATTTTTAGTTGATGCCCACTTTTTCCTTTCGTCAATAAACCTTTGTACTCCGTATACTATACCAGGCAGCTACACGCGTTTATACGATATTTTATCCCCCCCTCTCTCTCTCTCCTTCGCTTTCTCCTTCTGTCAGAGTCAACAGCACCCATTTCTGAATAATTGAGTTCGTAATTCATAATCACCACTTCTTCCTGCCTACAATTCAATAATCCGTTGCGTCTTTTTGTTAGCTTCCTATTGATGCTGTTAATGAAGAGCCTGTGATCTCCGCTCTCGTTTTGATAATCTTCTGGGCGGTAAGAATCCGCCCTCTTTCTCTTTCTGTTTTGAGCTTTTCTTCGCTGGTTCGGATTTACACCATTTGGAATTTGTTCCGCTTTAAGAAATATTAGGGTTCCGAGATGAGGAAATGGAATTAGTACATTGGGGTTTGAATCTTTTCATCTTTCCCTTCAAAAGATCTTACCATGTTGTAAAAATTTGTTGTTTGAGCTTGCTTGTTGGCCTGGGCAGGAGTGTGAATTCTTAATATCAGTTCGGGTAGCCTATTGTACAAAAAAAATGGCAATGTTTTTGTGAATATTTTAGGGTTTTAGTTGTGCAGTTCTTAGTTTTTAGCTTGATCTATTCTGTATTCATTCTCTTGTTCAATACCCATAGTGAAAATGTCTTCAGCCGGTGTCAGTACTCTTAGCGTGGTTCCCCCTGAGCCATTGTTGTCACCAAAGGCGTTCCCTTTCCCATCACACTTGTCTTTGGAAGATAAATCCATTTTCATATATCTCTCCTTTTCGGGTTCGTTGACTCCAATCCGTGTTATGGAGTGGGATACCATTAGGTCTGTGAAATTCAAAATCCAAAGGTGTGAAAGCCTTCCGTTTTTAACAAACAAGCAGAAGTTGGTTTATGCTGGCCGAGAACTCGCGCGGAGTGATTCTCTGCTCAAGGACTATGGAGTGACTGATGGAAATGTCTTGCATTTGATAATCAAGCTGTCAGATCTTCAGGTCATCAATGTGAAAACTTCGTCAGGGAAGGAGTTCTCGTTTCAGGTTGAAAGAGGTCGAGATGTTAAATTCATAAAGCGGCGAATTGCCAAAAGAGAGAAACAGTTTGATGATCCTGAGGAACAGGAGCTTGTGTGCAATGGGGAAAGGCTTGATGACCAGAGGCTTATTGATGATATCTGCTGCAAGCATAATGATGCTGTGCTACATCTGTTCGTGAGAAAAAAGAATGTTAAAATTCAGAGGAGACCCCTTGAGTTGTCCATCTTAGCAACAGATTTGACTGATGAGAAAAAGAACGATGTCAATGGAAAAACATGCAGGAGGAATTATGATGTTGGTAAAGAAGATACTAGTAGAAAGTCTGATGCCATTCAAAGAACTGTGCCGAGAAAGCCTCCCGACAGAGATATTTTTTTGGAGCCAGTTATTATTAACCCTAAAATTGAATTAGCTTCATCTATTTGGAATATGGTGAATTCTACATATGATGGACTTGACAGTGGAAAATATCCAATCAGATCTGCAGAGGGTACAGGAGGAGCTTACTTTATGCTTGATTCTGTGGGGCAAAGGTATGTGTCTGTTTTTAAGCCTATTGACGAAGAACCAATGGCCGTGAATAACCCTCGAGGTCTTCCATTGTCATTAGATGGTGAAGGCTTAAAAAAGGGTACAAGGGTTGGTCAAGGTGCATTCAGGGAAGTTGCAGCCTATGTTCTAGATCATCCATTGAGTGGGCGCCGCAAATTATTTGGTGATGAGACGGGCTTTGCAGGTGTCCCTCCAACATTGATGATCAAGTGCTTGCATAAAGCATTTAACTATCCTAGAGAATTGACTCCTAAGATAGGTTCCTTGCAAATGTTCACAGAAAATAGTGGAAGTTGTGAAGATATGGGCCCTGGGGCTTTCCCAGTAAAGGAAGTACATAAAATTTCTGTTCTGGACATAAGACTGGCAAATGCAGATCGGCATGCTGGGAATATTTTGATCAGCAAAGAGAAAAGCAACAACCAGTCTGTTCTGATTCCAATTGATCATGGATATTGCTTGCCTACAAGTGTAAGCATCTTATTTTATGATCTTTTGGTTGTGTTTAGTGCATGTAGTTATACTTCTGTATTCTGATATTTTCCCTGTCTTTCCCTTGTCAACATATATCTATATTGCATTAATTGACCTATTTGTCAATGCAACAGTTTGAAGATTGTACCTTTGAGTGGCTTTACTGGCCCCAAGCTAGCCAGCCATACTCCCCAGAAACTATTGACTACATAAAGTCACTGAATGCTGAAGAAGATATTGCCCTTTTAAAATTTCACGGATGGGATCTGCCGGTTGAATGTGCTCGCACTCTTAGGATCTCAACCATGCTTTTGAAGAAAGGGGTACAAAGAGGGTTGACCCCCTTTACCATTGGAAGCATGATGTGCAGGGAATCCTTGAACAAGGAATCTGTGATTGAAGAAATAGTTCAAGAAGCACTGGATTCTGTTCTTCCTGGCACAAGTGAAGCTACATTGCTGGATGCTGTTTCCCAAATCATGGATCTTCGCCTGGATGAGATTGTCAGATCTCGTTTATAATAGCATGCATTTCTGCAATAGTAGCAGCGGGTACATACTGTGTGCATATGTTCACGTACATATGTAAAGCTCAAATAGTTGGTTTTTTAGTTCTTGACAAAGGAAGTCTATTTTCTTTGGTTCGAATGTAAAACCGTTCTTAGCTTAACTTCTTAGGTTTTATTGTTTGGTAGTTTCCTGCCGTTAACAAATTCTTTCAAGTTTCTTGTTGATTCCTTTATTAAATTTGAATTCTAAGGATAGCAGACAACCCGTCTTCATTTGAATTGCAGTGTAACATTCTTTGTCCTGTAATGTGTTGTTTGTTTCAACTGCAAGGTTGTGCTTGTTAGGAGTGTGAAAAATGAGAATGTGGAAAATGAAGTCTTTTTTTTCTTTTCTTACAGTTTTTGGATACGGTATAATTAAGTTTGTGTTGTTATTTTCTATCTAACCGTATGTATGGACAGTGTGGACATAGGTTATTGTCTTTAAAAACATTTAGAATTCTCGATAACTTTTCCCAAAATGTAAATTTTATTAATCAAATCATCGAGTTGAAAATTGTCATGAAATATTTTACATCTGCTAAGTTTCAAATATATCAAAAATTAATTCATTTTTCACTACAAATTATAATGTAGTGTTCTGGTTTAAAAAAATTTACATAACTATGTAGTTGTTTTATAGGCACATGAATGAATATACAGATGTTTAACGCTTTGTATGCGTTATAATCATATGCCACGTACATAAACAACTAAATTAGTTAATTTACACAACTTTATTTGGTGATGCATCTAATGCATAGTGTAGTATCAGCTAGTCCTTTTTCATTTTTAACTATATTTAAATTTGAGCAAGGCTTCTAAGCTCTCTTTTATGCCGTGCTAATTGCAACCAAAAAAATCCCAGAGGTTGTCAAGGAATTTATGAACGCATCACTAGAATCAGATTTGCACAATAATTGCTCAAATTAAAGGGATACCTTGAATTAAGAGTATCAACATCGTAATGCAATTGACGTTACCATGACTTGTTTTAGCTTGAAATACAATAATGCTGTTTTTCAAAGTTGTATTTTCCAGCAGCTGTTTGTCAATGTAATAGTTATTTATTTATTTTCACTATATAATATATAGTAGATACGTGTATATTCTAACACCAGCTCAAAAATGATAAAGCTCACCGAGGATGTTATCATGTGGATGAGCGGATTAATATTATTATTTCTTTGCAAATTTTGTAACCTTTGTGCCTAAAGATATTTTAATGTAAAAAAAGTACTAGTCATGCAAGTTAAAACCCTTTCGCAGTATCATCTAAAATATTTTGACATGCACCAAATTTTCTTTTATGGATTCAAAAAGTTCAAATTTGCTATCCCGGAGTTGCTCGCGATCAATTCTGATCCGTTCCTGATTTAAATGGAAAGAGAAGTATAATTCAAAGCACATTGATTCTGAAAAGTAAAAACCCCTTTCAATACTTTTATAAAAATCTCAAGTGATTAGTAGCATATGATACACGCAGAGACCAAATATCTGACAAGTACATTGGTTAGAACTTTGTTTTTTTTTTTATTATTTTGTTTGGAAGTTGAAATTGCCATAAACATTCACCAGTCAAAGATTAAGACTTGTCAAATTATCTACAGAAAGAAAAAGCATTAAAGAGAATAATATGCAACAACCTAGCTACAGAGGTTGGGTATGCACACTCCACCTTCAGGGTTTTGCTGTTCTTTCCATATCCTTCCTGTTACTCGTAGCTTCAACTCTTTCCTGTCTCCACCTGAGAAGAAAAGCGCCATGTTGCGGTAAATGATAAGACCGTCATGACTGTCTCTCACTTTCTTATGACTATCTCTAATGCTTCTTGGACTCCCCTCAAAAGTTAGTTTTCGTCCATTTCCACCCACCTCCAAACTGTAGCTGTAGTTTCTCGCCTCTCTTTCGTCACCCATGAATCGGAGGAATGCCATGTACACTGGAGCCATGCCAAGCTGGAAGGCCTCAAAATGGAGGCAAAAATATTGCCCAAAACAATGGAAAACCTAACACAAACAAAAATGAGTTAACCAAACAATATGGATAGGATTTCAACAAGTGCAAAATGCAGTTGTGCTTGTGCATGGAATGAAGGAATATCACACCAAGTTCTAAAGAAACACATGCAGAATTTTTTAAAGATACCGTTAGCATCCATGTAGCATTTTCCACTTCCATGGGATTAGACTTTACATAGCGATGGTTGAAAGTGCATCCAGAATGCATATCAACCCTGTGGTCATCCCTTAAATGAGCAACAAGGCATGGAATATCCCCAACCACAGAACAGTCAGACCCGGCATAAGGACAGTTATATGGTCTGAAGTTACAAATAGCCTCATGTTTGAGTTTGCTGTAATAAGGAAAAATCTCTGGACACCCAAGAGAGATATATCTACATGGCAGCTCAAGTGATTCTGCTATCTTCTCTAATGCCAAACATCTTATATCTCCGAGCTCCTGCCTGCAAGTTGGGCATCGGTTGTGTACCCTTGTCTTGCAAGTTGAACATAGCGTGTGCCCGTTGTGGCACTGCATAGTAAAATTTATTTCAAGAATTAATAGCTGTTTTGTTAGCATCATTATTCAACTATATCTAGTTATCTATACAAGGACTTGGACAGAAGGTTTCAATATACTGAAAGAATAATATAAGCAACATGCACAAGACAATGCTATGTACCATATGCTCATTATATTCCTCACATTATAATGACAGAACTCAAGATAACACCAGATTTGATTGATAACATTCTTTTGTAACTATGCAAGATATCCCACATGACTTGTGATGGATGAAGGGAATTCATTGCTTTAGATACTGAATTTACTAACAGCGGTTCTCTCTACAAAAACAGAAAGTACCACCTGGTCCTTTTATTTTACTATAAATTAATAACTGAATATTTGGATGTGTGCTGTAATATCTCTATCAAACACCTGGCTGACACCTGCGTTTGTGCATAAAAAAAAGATTTGGATGTTGCTCACCAAAATCAAGATTGCTCTAATACTATATTAGTGTGTGTGTGTGTGTAAACAACTTAATTTAAGCATTTATTTAACACCTATCATTAAAGTGGCTATAATAGAACAAAAAACACGGATAAACTATTTTCATACAAGTTATAAGGTAAGAGGTTTTCATGTGCTACCCTCGAAAACTTATGACCATATTGTCACAAGATAGGTCCGAATAAGCTCTTCAAAAGCACCTTGAATTTAACTCAACCCAAAAGCTTGTTCAAGGTGAAGGATTGCCCAAGTCTTGCAAGGTGACACTTTAATGAGCAAGGTGGAAGGATTGCCCAAAAGGCATGTTCAAAACTAGACATTTTGGAGCTTTAAGTTTGCAAGATAAGACATTTGTTGAGTTCACTTTCAAGGACTTAACTCACTTTCAAGGGAGGTTTGGTCTAAAATTTTACTATAAACTTACTTTTGGGATAAAAAATTCCCAACCATAAATCATTTCACTTAAAACTCAACCAAATCAACTTTAGAAAATTAAAACAATCCAAAAGTCAAGTTCGTAAACATTCATCTAAGACAATAAACTAGAATGGAATGTTCTCACAGCAATGTAGTTGCTTAGCAATTCAAGTGATGGACTTTAATGGCACGCCAAATTGTAAAAGAAAGATTTAATATTTCCCTTCCTTCTTGCAAGATACGTATCTAATTCTCCTTTGGGCTACAACAGTACCACCCCAAAGGAAAAGCTTAAACAAGGAAATTCAATTACTTGTGACAACTTCCGTAATAAAATTATAGAACTTGTCACTTCAACTATATGACTATACATCCTAATTAAAGGTCAGGGTTCCTGGCCTATTAGCAGCATCCAACAAATTTAATCATGGAGATATCAATCACTCATAACTCAACTCATCACATTAATACTCATTTTAGGATATTGTAGCAAAACCAATTATGAACAATCATGTGATTCATGTCAATATACGAGAAAAGACAGATAACTAAACTCCCAAATTCCAATTATAAATTACAAACAGGAAGAAGAAGACATCAAACTAACAGTACAATAGAATTCTAAGTCAATTACTATGATGAGCAATGCTAACAACAATCCTCTCTTTAACATATTAAAATTAGTTATCTTTAAAATAGGTCACCTCTTAAAGTAAGCAGTGGCTTTCTAAAGAATAGACCAATATCCAATAATAAAAAATGTGTTGGTAGCATATTTTTTACTGCAATGTGCATAGAAGGAATAAACTATGACACATCCCAACAAAAAAGGATTCTCTGGGATAGTGACTTAGAACAGACATAACAAACAAGCCCAGTAAGCCACAAACCCTGTACACCTTGTTTTTCTCTTCAATTCAAGCTTTTCCAACATCCTTATCGGCTCAATTAACTAAGTTCACTGGATTGATCAAGAGACAATGATCAAAGTCCTGCCTACTCTAGAATAAGAAGTTATATAGTCTAATAACTGATGCAGCTAAGTTTCTTCTCTTATTTTTGAATCGCTGATATACGAAGGTACACAAGAGAAAGTTTACACCTGACGATAATGATTATGCCCTTTTATAGCCATATATTTTCACATCATACCTTCTGTAAGTCTAAAAAATTGACCTGAGTAGGCCTAGATGAAAACTAAAAAAGAACATCGGTTCTCAAATTCTGCCATCCCCATCACCAATCCCAATATCACCGTAAGCAAACAAGAAAAAAAAGGTAAAAAGGAACTCAGAACCTCAGAAAAGAAAAACTAGCCAGATAGAATCTTTGATCAAAGTAACCCGTCATAGTAACCAAATCTTCAACCCTTACAAACTGAAATTACAGCAAAATATGAGATCTAAGCATTAAAAGGGGGGAAAAGTTCCCAACAATAATTGCACATGGTCTTGATCGAAAGACTGACAATCCAAACCCTCCATACTGGACATGCCCATTAAAAAAAAAAAAAACCCTCTTTTATAGAACCAAATGAGAAAAGGAAAGTAAATATGAGCATCAACAAATCGCATAGACAGAACGTATAAGGAAAGAAACAAAGTACCACCAAATCAAGTAATTTTTGGAAGCAAACCCAAAAAGCAAAATGGATCAGATAAGAGACCTGATGGATTGGAGGGTACATGGAGTTGGTGCAGACAGGGCATTCAAGAAGGTCGTGGACACTGGTAGTGGTGGGGCCATTGTTATGCAGCTTCGAGATTGAAGAAAACTGATGAGGATGTTCATCATCCTCCATCATAGTCATCGATGACACAGTGCTGCTCTCAATGCTGCTGGATTCCATTCTCTCGCTCATAACACAAACACCAACACGCTTAATTCGTAGCCATCCGAATCATATGTGAGTTGTGACGGTTGAGCTTCAGCAGCTGGGTGGTTGTGTGTGTTTTTTAAGACAAGAAGAAGGGGGAAAAAGAAGCTGTCTGCTTGCAAAAATTGATGCTTTTCTTCGGTTCCTTGGTCTTCTAAGACAACATAGAAGTGTTACAAGATATGGGTGTCCGAATCCTGAGGACCCTTTGATCAAAATCAAACGGTTTTCAGGATTCCCCAAGGAAAACCAGGACGAGAGAAGACAATAAAGAGATCGAGATGGAGAAGGAGAATAACGTAGAGGTTGGAGAATGATGAGAGAGAATAATGTAGATCAAGTGATGTGCTTATTTATTTTACTGATTTATTATTTAAGGCAGGTAAATGAGGAACCTTTTTTAACCACAATCTTTCGCTGTGCCACGCCACAGTCAATGTAAATTCATTTAACAACACACTATTTTTCTGTCTTCTCCTCATGTGACAAAGACTCCGAGACTGCAAGTTATACAAATTTATTTACAGCACTCACTTTTTAAGGTATTTTTCTATACACACCAAATTAAAGATTAAAATAAAATACCATCATCAAAATTAAATTCTAGAAATTTCATTTAAATATTATAAAGCGACATATCTCACTAAATTAGTTGAAGTGATTTCAGAATATAATCTTGAATAATAAAATTCCATCGATATTATATGCATGTTATTTTATAAAAAGAACATAAAACTACTTTTTACATCTAATTATTTTGAGCAGATAATCCTAAACCATAAACGAACATCTTTCTATCGGTGATGAAATAAAAACTACCGGTGTGAATGTTCTGAATTCTTTTAAAATCAAATAATCGTAACACGATATAAATGAATCATTTTTTGAGAAGGAAAGCCATAAATTTTCCTAAAATCCAAAAAAAAAAAGATTCAGTTAAAATACCTCACAGAAAACACTAATAAATTTGTCAGTTAAGTGAAACTTTATAATGATGAATAATGAATTGTGTTACTGTTATATTAGTTTGTTTTGTTAAGTTATTATGGGATGAAGAAAGAGGTGTCGTAATTTGAAACAGGACAGACATAGTTAATACGATGAGGGAGTTAATGGGGTGGTTTAGAAGTGGAGGAAGATGTGGTCTGATCTGATGGTGAGCACCATTGAAGGGAGCGCAAATTGATTTGAATGATTGAGAAAAGGGGGTCTACAGCTTTGTGTAGAATGGATGGATATACCAATGGTCCACTATGCCACTATCAATTATTTTGGCGTGGATGCCACACTTGTCCTCAGACTCTAAAATATTTAGTTTCTTAGTTGCCTCTTCAAACTGTTGCTTCTTTTTTATACTATTGCTTTCTGGACTTAATTGTCTTTAGTCATACCATTGCGTAATTTGAGGATACTCTTGAAACACGTATACCTTGTGGATCTTCTTTCAACAATTTACAACAATATTTTTGGCCACTTGCGGGGAAAATGTTTACTTATTTCTAGGCTTACACAGTTACATTTGTTGATAAGATGATAATTTAATTATTAGTAGCTACTTCTGATCATGACACATTTTTCCCTTTCATTTTCAGTAACCGTCCACATAATTACTTCCCTCTTCTTCTCTTATACTTTCTATCGTGCATATCTTGTCTTCTTTGTAAATCTTTCCATGTTTTCTTTTTCCTTGACTTTTACTGTTAACGAGTCTTTCATATGGCAAGTAGAAACTAAGGAAAAAAGAAATTAAATAACTTGTTTAGAAATAAGTTTAACATTTACAAAGTTATATGAGTAAATTAAAAACCTACGTGTAAATTCTAAACATATCAAGAGTTTTCCAACGCTACTGCTCTCATCCTATCACGCATGTAATTAAAATTAATGAGTAACACTGTACTAGATCTTTTCCTTCAGGGGGGGTTATTAGATATTACTATCATGAAGACAACAGAAGAAAGTCATGATATCAATTCGACTTTAGGAAAGTCATGCATAATAATGGGGTTTGTTGGGTTAAATATGATGGTAAGAAGAAAACGCTTTCCAATGAAAGATTAGAGCGAATAATGTCACAGAAAACAAACAATCTGAAGTAACTTTTTTTTTTCCTTTGTTTACCCGTAAGCTTCACTGTGCGACAAGGTAGAACAAGAATCATGGTGTGTGAATCAGTGCACTATTATAATATTAGGATTGCATGAAAATACTTAGTTGCTCAAACGTATCGGTAGTAGTTCCCTGACTTTTCTGCGCCGATTCCCGTCGTGCGTTCATCATCCCAACCTATGAAGGTTTGCAATAAAATATTAGCATCTGTCCCTCTGCTCAAAGCAAATTCACCGTGCCTGAAGATATTATAAAAAGTATTACATTTTTTGTCACATTTTTCCCAAGTGGTTGTGTAGTGTACTGACAAAAGTTTCCCTCGCGAGCCACAAGTGATAACCATACAAAGAACAATTGCCAGCAAAAGTTCAGGTTTGGTGCCAAAAAATGGGGCAAGAGGAATATTCTTTTTCTAGTTCCCAGTGAGGCAGTGACTCTTCTCCACCTTCGTACTCCCTTTATTTTGAAATCATAAAATAAAAAATAAAACCCTCTTACTGATGAAAGCAACACCTGAGGATACGTCTAGGTGTTTGAGTAAGCTGAAAATTTTCCATATCATGCGGGATTGTACTTTTCTCAAAAATATTTTCTCGTCGAGGGAATAAATACTTCGCTTAATAGCCATGAAGGTCCACCACCAGCAGCGACAACTCAGACCACTTATCCGACAGGTCAACTGCTCTTCTTTAATGGCAATGGGAACCATTTATGACACCTTTCTGGTAGCTAAAACATCACACAAGGCATTCCAAGTTTTCTTCCGGGTTCCAACTGGTGTGTTTCAACACCACAATTTAATTTACTCACCGATAGAAATCCACAGTCAATTTGCATCTATGTGATTTTGAAATTTAGTATCAATAATAGTAATATTTAATGGATTGAAGACTTGTTACAAAGCAGTGATGGTGCTAATAAATACAAGTGAATTTTAGTTTGGCGTGATTGTCGAACATGTAACCTCTGGCATCTACCGTTATGACAAACGATTTTACAGAAAATGTGCGAAATAAATTTAAAAATATAAAACAAGAGAACTGACCAGCAACTGCTTCAATTTATCCCTTGCAGCCAAGCTGGTCCTTATAATTCTGTCTACAAAGAATAGATGTAGTTTGTTTTGTTTTATTTCACTTACTAACCAGCCCCATGACTAACAGGCATGGCTTTACCCAAAATCTGAAGTATGATTCGGACTTCAGAGTAATCAGACAAGCTTAACAAAGATTCTGCCCAGTTTACCATTGATTTGGGAACGCTTCTCTATATTTGGCATCCTGATTTGACACATGCTGCCTATCTGAAGCAACCCTTGCACGCGAACTTAAAAGCTTCTCGGCTATTCTATCTTTTGATGTTACTTTCTTTCGCAGCATAGAAGCAAGACTTTGTTTCTTGTCTTTGGCAGATAGTTTATCTTCATTAGTTAACTCCCCATCTCCTCCAAGCGTGGCTGATCGTGAAGTAGAAGCCAAAGCAGCATCGCGTAAAACAGCTACATTGTGTTCCCTAATTTTTGCTAGTTTTGCACGTTTCAGCGACTGTTTATCAATTTCTCTCTTCTTTGCCCCCTCTTGGTCTCTCTCACGAATATTTTTCACCGCTTGTTTGGCTAACTGTTCCACTAGATCAGTCCCTAAATCCATATTCACGTCTTCTAAAGAGCTCTGGCTGAGTGGCGTCCCTTTGTCATCTCGAGGAATGATAGGTCCATGAAATGGACAAAGTTTCATGTCTCTTCTCTGGCACAATCCTCCTTTCTTCAAAGGAGCCAGGCATGGTTGGATTTCAACTTTCTTTTCTTCATAAGGCATTGCGTGAACATTCAGCTCGGCAATTTTATCTGCTGGAATAACTGCATCAGCATCCACCCTACCCCAGTGACTATCAAGCTCCAAACCCCGCTGGTTAGCCATGAAAACCCTGTTTGAACCCCAGTTATCCAAGTAAGAACTCCATTGTACCACGGGAGCTTCGGCTATAAGTTTACTCCTCTCAGGGTCTGACTCAACTTCATGTCCCTGATGACGAAGGCTGTCAGTTTCAGAGCCATTAGACCCGTTACTGTGAAAACCATGATTTCCATTATTCATTTTATGGGCATCAAGATGTTTATTTTTATCATTGGGTATGCTAGATGAGCTTTCCATAGATACAACGTTACCCTCCTCCCAAAAATCTTCCGCATCGTGTTTTGATGAGTTTACGAGCAAACAACCAGCCTCTTCACATTTACTTTTAACTGATTTTAGACGATTTCGGATATCAATGAACTCTTTCAAAATGGAATCTCTGAATCTATTGTCGGCTACTTCGACTCTTACTAAAACAGAAATCCACTCTTGGATAGTAATCAAGTGCTTTGCCACCAGAAGTTTGTATAGCTCCCTCAATGTGTCAAAAACCACTGTGTTATCACTGTTCTCATAAACCTTCTCCCCTTCTTTTAATGCTTCAAGACGAAGCTGCTGCAGCTCCAAAGAATGAAAGTCACCGTGTTCGTCGCTGTCCAATATATCATCTGACACACACTCCTCCTGTTTTGCATGCAAAATGTCCAAACACTCATCAATCTCATCCATCGTAGATAAAATCCCTGCCTTTATTGTAGATGAATTCTCTTTCAAAGATTCATACTTGCTCAGTAAAATCTCCTTTGACCTCCTCTCCCTTTCCATTCTCTCCTGCCGAACCCGCTCCACGTTAGCTTGTATGTTAGGAAATTGGAGCCTGAGTGTATTCTTCAGATAATCATAACCCAATCTGAGCTGTCTGTAATGAACCCCAAACGTCACATTCCACTTCTCCAAGAATTCAATGGCCTTAGAACGTAAAACAGTCGCAACAGCTGGTGGAGCAGGAAGAGGCACGTTTCGCCTGAATCCAACACTCAAACTCAGCAACTGATCCATGTTCTCAACAACAAGGGTCCTAAAAAGCTTTGAACGCATGAAGAGTTCATCAATTATTAGAAGTGCAAGGTACCGGACCTGCAACACATATCTGTCAAAGTCAATCTGAGGAATTTTTGCTGTAGAAGACAGTTGGAATCTGAAATTTAAAATAAGGTTTGAACTAATGAGTGAGGTTTCTCAGCAGAGCAATTAAACGAATGGGATTTCATCGCCTTATCACCTTTAGCATTAAACCTGGCAGGAAGAACATAATAGTCCATTTTCTCTAAGGAATATTGTTGTTTAGCACATGTATGAATTTGTATCAACT